TTGCACTTTTTCACATGAATGAATGGAGATTACCTTGGAAAAAGCGTTACCATATGTATTCCAGTAAAGCCAATTGACAGCTGGTCAAGAGGAATCCGCATTCATCTTCTGTTGAAATCGACCTTCAAATCTTTTCACCAAACGCTTTCACTCAAAATAGAAGTAAGTTCAACGCTTAGTTTCAGTACGCGCAAATTAAATCACAAAAGACAAAAGGGAATCCATCGTAGTATTCTGGTAAGATTGGTATATGAATCTCTTCATAACACACTTTCACACAATTTAAAACCAGTCCCAGCACTAAGCAAATGACCCAAGTTCCGACTAGGAAGCATCCAGTTTTGTGAATATACTAAACCCTCATTAAAAATGATATTAACTACGGATGATTCGGCATGGAAAGGCTAACAACTTAACTAGAGAATGCTTTTAAAAGTAAAAGCAATACATGAAAATCTGTTATAAACATGTGTCTATAATCAAGACTTAAAAGCTATATGGCATCAAGATAAATAAAATAAAAACAAAATAAAAATGTATATATACAGTAAAGTTAGCACAAAGAAAATTGAATATTTAAATCTATATTTGCCAACGATGCAAACAATGACGCATCCCAATGCGTTGTGCCGACTAGGAAGCAAGAGTGAGAATCAAAGGGATCAGTTAAAGTTAGTCAACAGAAGCAGAAATTCATACAAACTTGGAGGGGGAAGCTGTTTGACTTTGTTTTCGCAATTTGGTCATATTGGTAGGAAGACCTAGAGGAACCCACCTAGTCCGGAGTCCATAGTATGTATAATAATTTTCAGAGCCGGGTAGTGCTAAGAATGGCAAGGCTCACTGGCGATGCCGATTGCGATGCCGATTATGATGCCTGCGAAACGTTTGGGAATGTACCACGTCAAAGGTCCGACTCTGGAAATTAGTATATATGCTATGGACTCCGGACTAGGTGCGGTCCTCTAGGTCTTCCAACCAATATGACCAAGTTGTTAAAACAAAGTCAAACAACTTATATACAACGAAAGGAGATTGCGACCATACAAAAGGCCACACCATTTTACTTTTCATACCTTCGATTAAACTATTATAAGGGAAAGTTAACGGAGTATAAATTACATTCTGCCAATGAATAAGAATTATAAAATGCAGTCCAATGGAAGTTTGTAACAGGATCTTGGTTGGAGGCTAGAAACAAAGAGGCAAAAAATTAAATTGAACCATGTGGCTCATTAATGGACATGTTCAGAATGTATAAATTAACCTAGTAAGAAGCAAAGTTAGGTCATTAATCACTTCTGGATTCAAAAAATATCAAAAAAGCAAACCCCAAATAATTTAAAGGAGACTCGAATTTACTGGGGACCGCTCAGCCCTCTAAAGCATAAAGCACTTTAAGCCCAGGTTTCATCTAGTCTTTATAGTCATAGAACACTATTCTAAATTTTATTTACTTCTTTAAAAATTTAAAAGTAACGAAGTAAATTCATGAAAAAATTATTCGACACTCTAATTCCTGAAATCGACAAAATATATCAATCGGCTCCAAAACGGGCTGCTACAAAACGGCTATATTATGCACTTTTCAAGGACCCAACAATTTTTAGATAAGCCTGGGTTCGGCAGAATGTAAAATAAAATGGATGATAAAGAAGACGATACACTTCCCTCATATTAGAGTCATTGCAAGACTGTATATATCCAAATAGTAAATTTAATTTTTTTTTCGAATCTTACACATTTTGATCAATATCGATAGGTACACGAATCTGTTCACCAATGCAAAGATACAAGAGATGATTTCCAGAAAACTTCTCCAGACCAGACAAAAAGCTTAGTCACCTCAAACCCTGAGTTAATGAGCCAAATTTATAAAAGACATATAAAGAAAATGTCATGTCCCTCTTTTATCTTTGGAGCATAAACTGAAAGAAGAAACTTCAGGATGCTTGGGCAAAGAATTTTTCATCATAAGTTCGGCACGGAACTAAATAAAAACGGGCAAGAATGTCATATCCTTCTCGAAGCCCATATGATTCTTGTCATTTAACTCTCCATTCCTCAAAAAGATAAAGTAGTCAGGAGATGAAACTCTTTAGTGACCCTTGCCGAACCGTGAGTGAAGAATAGCATGATGGGACACAAACACTCATTCAGGATATCGTTCATAATCATAGAGTGTTCTGAAACAGGCTACAATAAAAGGTTTGAGAGCGGAATCCTGTCTTGCATAAGCCAAATTACGCAGTAGCTCTGAGTTTCCTGTTTGCCGCATAATACACTTTGTACCACATTTAAAGGTTAGCTGTGATTGTATCGAAAAATATAATCAGTACTCTAATCGGCATATTCAGTGAGGATAGTCCGGCAGGCTAGTTACATGTAAGCTTCACAGTTTTGTTCTAGAAACGTGCAAAATGAATAGTAAATATAGTAAATAGATGAAAATACAACGTTAATTTCTGAGGAACGAATAGGGTATCCTAGGTCAGGAGGGAGTTTATGCCTAACACTTGCAAAAGGTGATTGCTAAATATATTTGTGCGCACGACTAAAACTGGAATACGTACTACCTGTGCAGAAATCAGATTATATTTAACCTTTATAAATTGTGTGGATCATCAGGACCGTTTAATGGCCCCCACAGTTCAGTGGAACTTCCGCATTAGACAGATTTGTTAAGTTAGATTGGAATTTAGTCGATGATTATGATCATGACCTTCAGCCAGAAATGCATATTATAGCGTAAGTTGTCCAAAAAGATTGTTTCTATTTCAATACTGTTATTTTGCTAATTCTATAATTAACATTATCCAAGCTACTACCTGATCAATTGGTACTTTTGAAAAAGTTTGACTAGAAGAGATTAAGTGTGGATAGACACAATAATGGAGGCAGAATGTAGCGACAACATAAAGTAGGAAGAGCATATTGACAGGATAGAAACAAAATTTGCCAGGG